GATTCAAACCGTGCACCTCTGGGATTGTAGTTGCAGCTTCTTGCCACTAGGCCACCAGAGCTCCCATCAGAGTGCTCTTTGGAGGCAGGAATGATGAGGCTTCATCTTACATACTTGGGAAATGTTGCTAGGAGGGGCTCTTCCTTGGGGAAGGACAAGGTGATGGGAAGGGTAGAGGGTTGGCGAAGGAGAGGAAGACCCTTAACTAGGTAGCTTGACACGGTGACTGCCTCATTGGGCTTTTGTGTGTCAGGAAGTGTGAGGATGGCACAGGATAAAACAGAGTTCAGATCTTTTGTTCATAGGGTTGCTATAAGTAGTAGTCAATTCAACAGCACATAACAATAACAACAACAACAGTAGATAAATGATTTTATTAGTAAATTATATCAGCCAGGAAATCAAGAGACGAATTGCATTGGGAAATTCAGCTGTCAGGGCCCTCTCAAGAGTACTGAAGAGCAACGACGTCAGGCTGGAGATTGAGGTGCACCTGATCCAGGCTATAGTTTTTGCAGTTATGTGCTATGCATCAGAGAGTTAGACAGTGAATAGGGTTGATAGAGAATTGATGCCTTTGAGCTGTAGTGCTGGAGAAGAGTGTTGAATATACCATGGACTGCTAGGAGAACAAACAGGTTTGTCCTGGAGACGGTGAAGCCAGAATGCTCCTTAGAGTCAAGGAATCTGAAGCTTCGTATGACATACTCTGGACGTGTTGCAAAGAGGGACTGGTCCTTGGATAGGGACATCATGTTTGGGAGAGTGAAGGGATGGCGCAGGAGAGGAAGACCTTCGATGAGATGGATCTATTCTGTGACTGGAGTGGTGGGAATGAGTATGTTTGAGATTGCTAGGTTGGCACAGAATAGAACGGTGTTCAGAGTTCTTTTACATAGGGTCATTATGAGTCGCAAGCGACTTGATGGCACATAGCAACAACAGCAACATATCTATTGTGAGTATTGTGCTTTTTTAAATTATTAGCTATGAGTAATAAAATTGACAATGAAAATAAAATGGTTAGGTAGAAACCTTAGACAGTTGTTGTTGTTGTTATATGCCGTTGAGTCACTTGTGACTCATAGTGACCCTATGTACAGCACCTCTAAATTCTGCTCTGTCCTGTGCCAATCTCATTGTCTCTGACACACTCATCTCAATTGCCCCTGTCACCAAATCAATCCATCTCCCAGAGAGCCTTCCCCTCCTGCACCTTCCCTCCACTCTCCCAAGCATGATGTCCTTCTCCAAGGACTAGTTTCTCGTTACGACATGACCAAAGTATATCAGACAGCCTCAGAATCCTTGCCTCCAAGGAGCATCCCAGTTTAATCCTCTCCATGGTTAATCTGTTTGTTTTCCTAGCAGTCCATGGTGCCTTCAATACTCTTCTCCAACACCAGAGCTCAAAAGCATCAATTCTTCTTCTGTCCTCCCTGGTCATTGTCCAGCTCCCTGACTCATAAAAAGTGATTGCAAAGACCATGGCCTGTACCAGACGCACCTTACTCTCCAGAGACACACATTGCTCTTGAGTACTTTAGAGAGGTCCCTAACAGCAGACTTTCCCATCGCAATATGTCTTTTAATTTCCTGGCTGCTGGTGCCAAGAGTGTTGATTGTGGAGCCAAGCAGACTAAAGCTGTAAACAATCTCAATCTCTTCACCATCCATCCTGATGGATATAAGCTGTCAGATCAAGAGCTAGACAATGGGAGACAGGTGATGAAGGGAATGGGTAGAAGTGGAGGGGTATCTTGATGGATGGTGGAGCAAAGAAATAAGTGGGTCAGGGCACTTGACCCAAGGGCAGGGACAACACCAAAACTAAAAACTAATGGTTAATTCCACAATAAGGGATATATTTGCACTTTTTCTGTAAAATGCTGATCTGTTGGATACTTCTCTAGATCTGAACATTTAGATTGACATACACTAGGAAGAAGGATTGGCCATCCATTTCCAAAATAGCAGGACTCTGAAAACCCTATGTATAACAGAACACACGTAGAATGACAGAAAGGGCAACTGAGTATGGAAAGGAAGAGGAACAGTTGTAAGCAGACACTAGTGATTGGAACATGGAATGTGAGAACCACAAATGCGGGAAAATTAGATATTGTTAAGGAGGAAATGGAACACATAAATATGGATATACTAGGCATTGGTGAGATGAGATGGACCGGCATGGGGCATTTTGTATCAGATGATCATATGATATACTACTCTGGAGATGAAAAAGTGAGGAAAAATGGGGTTGCTTTCATAGTTAGAAAAGCCATTTCTAGATCCGTCTTGAAGTACAATATTGTGAGTGATAGGATAATATCCATATGCATACAAGGAAATTCAGTGAATACCTCTATCATTCAGACATATGCACCAACAACCAGAGCCAAAGAAGAGGAAATAGAAGAATTTTACCTTAGACAGTAGGGAGATTAAAATAATGGTGACAAAATAATGTAGAAAATGATAGTAAGAATGATAACATGATTTGATGAGTGTAAACAGTACATCTGGAAATTCTTCAATTAGTGTATCTTTGACTGTAGATAAGACCTTTCTTTTTACTGTGATTTCCAATATTGTGACTGATCGTGGCTCCTTCTACTGGTCCGCTTGACACCTATTAAAATTGGTGGAATAATAGTTTATAAAAGTTTAGTTTTGGACTTTTAAGAATATTTGCATAAAATGTGTTTGAAAATTTCTTTGCTTATGAGTAATACAAATCACATCTTTATTAATCTGGTCCCTTGCAGTTTGAGTCCCCGTTTAAAGTACTTTTTTCTTTTGGGTTGATTTTAAATGGGGGCTTGTCACACATACTTGTGCTTTATAAGGGAGCTGTCAAAAGCTGATACTTTTTAATATTCTAATATTTACTACTAATTATCTTATAATCTTATGTTGCTATTCTAAACTAAAGAAAGGCAATGAAGTAGAAACTTACATAAATCTTTTTTTTTTCTATAATTATATTTTATTAATTTTCATAAACATTTACAGAGGTTTTGGGCTTCCACTCATTCATTGTTGCACTATTCTCTCTACCCTCCTCCCAGTTTGTTCTTGTCCAAATGCCACAGTGCTTGTCAAAGCCAGTTCTGATTAATCTTCTTTGTCAGTGTATCCTTTGCCATTCCCTATCACTCCTCCCTGAGAGAGACTTCACCCTGAGTCATAAGGAAAAGGGGACGGCGTATTCTCTTAGCTACTTCCTGCTGAAAAGGGACGCTGTGGGTTTCAGGGTGAAGATCTTCTCTCACTACTCTAAAGGGCCCCTTTGCCAGTAGGAAACACATAGACTATTATGGAGATTGATTTTGGGATTTAGATGCACTCTTATTGATTGTGCTTGGCCGTGCATGTTCATATCCTTGAAGATGTATCATGGGGGTGTTGCAACCTAGAAGACACAAATTTGACTAACAAGTTATAAGTACATGAGTCCAAAAATTATGGAAAAGTAAAAGAAAAGATTCTTTCATTGTTTTACAAACCCTCCCCCAGGTCCCCTCCACCATGCAGCCCTCGCTCTAGTCTCCTGTGATGACAGAAATACCCAGTTACATCTCTCTTTTAGACGGTTCTCTCCCTCCTCTGCTTCAGTGCAGTATACATTATTGAACCCATCTTACTCAGTGTCTCCCTAACCCCAAGGACAGTCCCATTCTACAACAGTGGCATCATGTAATATTTGTCTTTTTGTGACTGGGATATTTCACTCAGCATAATGTTCTCCAGAGTCAACCATTTTGAATAATATTGCATGAGTTCCTTGTTTTTTAATGCAGCATAGTATTCTATTGTGCGAATATACCACAGCTTCTCTAGCCATTCGTTTGTTGATGGGCACTTAGGTTGTTTCCAACTCCTTGCTATTGTGAACAAAGCTGCAATGAACATGGGTGTGCATATATCTGCTTGGATGTCAGCTATGGTCTCTTCAGGGTATATTCCCAGTAGTGGAATTGCTGGGTCAAATGGTATCTCTATTTGCAACTTTTTGAGAAAGCGCCATACTGCTTTCCACAGGGGTTGCACCATTTTACACTCCCACCAACAGTGAATCAGGGTTCCAGTTTCTCCACAACCTCACCAGCATTTGTTGCTTGCTGTTCTGTTAAATTTTGCTATTTTGACTGGGGTGAAATGATATCTCATAGTTGTTTTAATTTGCATCTCTCTTAGGGCTAGGGATTTTGAGCATTTCTTTATGTGTTTGTTAGCCATCTGAATGTCGTCTTCGGTGAAGTGCCTGTTCATATCCTGTGCCCATTTTTCTATTGGATTATTTACCTTTATCTTGTTGTGGTGCTCAAGTATTTCATAAATTCTGGATATAAGTCCCTTATCTGATATGTTATTACCGAATACTTTTTCCCAGTCAGTGGCTTCCCTTTTTACCCTACTGGAGAAGTTTTTGGATGTGCATAGGGATTTGAGTCTTAGAAGGTCCCATTCATCTATGTTATCTTCTCCTGGTTGTAGCTTTTCCAGGATACTGGGAAGACTGTTTATGTTGTGGATTAGGACTTCTAGTGTTGTTCCTAGCTTTTCTGTAATGAAGTTTATAGTCCTTGGTTTTAGTCCTAGGTCCACGATCCACCTTGAGTTGGTTTTTGTGTATGGAGTGAGGTGTGGGTCTTGCTTGAGTCTTTTGCAGATATTTTTCCAATTTTGCCAACACCATTTGTTAAAAAGGCTGTCGTTCCCCCACTTCACTGATTTCATCTCCTGAAACTTACATAAATCTTAAAGTCTTAGAAAGTCCCATTTTACAGAATGTAAGTCTCACAGGACATAATTTTATTAAAAGCCTAGTACGTGTCAAAACACAGCATGTAATTTTTACTGCGAGATTTCATTGCTTGTTTGGAAAAATAACTTATTGGTAGAATACACCATTATGTTCCTAAAATAAAGTTTTACATCACTCCTCTTCTTTGTGTTTTCCTGATCTGTCTCTCTTTTGTTTTCCCGCTTATTAGGTTCAAACAGTGTAAATCGAGTTACAGCAAATATGGAAAATGGAGACAATGAAGGAATAACAACAAAAATTATTGCACCTTCACCAGTAAAAAGGTCAGTATAGTTACCTGAAGAAACATACAAACTATAGACTGTCAGAAGAAACTTAGAAAGATGATTCTTGTTGGCAGGATTAAGAATCTTCTCATATTTATAATTAACCAGTATTTTTGATCAGTGGGTTCCAATAAATAGGTTGTGGCTCAGGAAACCTTCTATTTCCCAGAAACACTTAAGAACTTCAGGGCCTGCCTCTCCCATTGGCAAGGCAATGCTCTTGCTGTCACAGCCTGGTGAGATCACAGATAGCCTTTAAATGGCATTCTGAGCAGCAAAGGGAATATTCCATGTGACTTTTAAAATGGTGTGTTATAATGGACTACTCTGAGGGACTTGTGGAATTAAGGAGATGGTATTCAAGTTTAATGTACTGTGTTCATTACAGTGGTGCACTGAAGTGTGACCCTGAAGAAGAGGGTTTATAGAATTTAGAGGCGTCAGAGCATCAGAAGTCAGGGATTGCATATGTATGAAGAGTTGTCATGGTCCTCTGCATCAATTTTCCCAGCAGCATTCCCTAGTGGAAAACCCCCTCTTAATACATTACATGGCTTGTTTCCCTGAACGATCAGCCTTGTTCTCTGTGAAAGAACTCTTCCAGAGTCATTTTTTCCCTATCTACAATTTTGTTCATGGAAAAACATTATAAACGCACACAATGATCAGGAGCATATCTGGTGGGGGTGGGAGGATGAGGAAGGAAGACAAGGGGTGCAAGCCATACCTCCTGATATGGTCTGGGGGATTGACACGAGATGACTTTAGCTGGTGGGTGGCATCACTAGGCTGAGTATTACCCTCACCTTGTGTGGTAACACCACTCCCTCCACACACACACAAATGGGAGGAGGGAGAGACTATGGGACTCTGGGGGGTGCAGTGCGGCAGGTCTCTCTGCCCACCAGGGGAACTTCACTGGTCTGTACTGCCATAGTAGTGAGGATGAAATAAGATTTACCACACTGGGTGACATCAATCTCAGTGACACAACTGACAAAGAGCTGCTTTCACTGCTCAGTTTCACTATAGAGAATGTGCCACAGGACAAGAAGTCCAAGGAGTCAGAAATACATGGCCTGGAAAAATTTTTAGAAAAGAATGATGTCATCTCTCAATTGAATTGTGGCTACTTTGAGGAATAAAGTTGATAATTTCTCAGCAATATAATTCTAAAATACAAGGTTCCCAGAGCTGTAGTGTTTTCCTCAGGGTTTTGCCAACGTTTTCTTTTGTTCAGTTCCAGGACACTCCCTTTATAGATTTCTCTTTGCAATGATGAGTGCTTTGCCTTCGGATATACTTCGGTTTACTCTGCTTCCCTTAGCCAGCCTCACAGCTGTGGATAAACAGAGAGCCAGCTTAATCTGTATGTACAGGGCATGTTTATACTAAGTCCAACATAAGAGCCATAATCTTCCATGAAATTCAGATCCCAAGCCTTTTTAGAATGTACAGAAGGCACTCACTCTACTGCATTCCTGTTCATGGTGCTGATACCTGAAGGGATGCCAAATTTTCCCACTCAGGCTCCAGATGAGAAATGGGGTAGGCAGTGAATGCAATTAATTTGCCACCCAGGATTTGATTATTCTTTTAACTTTTTCCTGCTCTCCCAATTCTCCTTTCATTTCCTCCATTTCTGACACTCCCATTTTTCTTCTCCCCACCCTCTTTCTGATTTATTAACTGCAGTCCCTCTATTTCTCTTTCTTTCTCTCTCTCTCACACACACATACACACACACACACACACATACATGCACACTTCATGGTTGTTCTATATAGTTACCACATTATTTTTCCTTATTTCAAAAAAAAAATAAGCTGTTACAGCAAACCTTTTTAAGAATACACTTAGTATATACTGATATTATCTACACTATGCCTTTGTCAAATATGTAATTCTGTAGGCATTTCTTTTATTAATTCCCATACAGAAATACACAGTATGCTGGGATACATCTTTCTTTTTTCTTGTTACGTGCCCATGCCATTTTCTCCCTCTATTTTCTTTGTTGCCTATTATAAAGATCTCTACTATGATCCGGTTGTGGAACAGTGATAGAGAGGATTTCTCCAAAAGCCAGGGTTCAAAGTGGATTAGGAGATAAGTCGCAATGTCTTTCTCTTAAGCCGAGACTCATGAGGAGGCGAGAGTCACACACTCCCCTTCTTCCACTGATGCCTGAAGACTTCTGATGAGTCTTTCCTCTCTGTCTTCACCTGTGTTTCTAAATTGGATAACAACACAGATATATTTACATTCCTAGAACAGAAAGATGATACTAGGTCAGGAAGTAGCATTGGAAAGTAATTCTCATTTGGAAGGAGGGAGTGTGGCAGCTGGAGGCAGGGCAGTTTGGGCAGCCTGAGCTTGCCTGGAGATGACTGCTCTGCACAGATTCAGACCCAGGTCCAGAGCCAGCAGACTGTCTGATCCCTGTGGTCACGAAAAGGAGTCCAGCCCGTGAGTCCACTCATTCCCAGTGTCCCTCCTTACCAGTTTGCTTCTTTTCTTTACTCAACCATTGCCCTTATTTCTTATCCTGTGGATAAACTCTCTTAGATGTTTCCTAAGAATTAATGACCTGACTCCTGCTGGTTTAAAGCACTGAAAATAGAGTGGGGAGAAAAGACCCAGAAGTTCTTGGTGGAGATATATTTCTTAAGTTGCCTCTTTCTATTCTTTTTGGAATGAGTTGCAGGTGTAAAGAAATACAAACATCTGTTAAAGAATTTTTTTATTCAAGGAATAATATGCATGTATTTACTTCTTTTTATTTCCTAGTTAATTTACTTTCTATACCTTTTCTGTTTAATTAAAGCTTTAAGAAAGCAAAGAGTGAAAACAGCCCTGACACCCAAAGAAGCAAATCCCATGCACCGTGGGAAGAGAACGGCCCCCAGTGGTAAAGGAAATCATTGATTCTACTAAGGAGAGCAGTAGAGAAGGGGGTCGCAGTAGCAACTCATTGCAAAGAATCCATTGCTGTGTGACTATGGCTGATAGCGGACCCAGCAGTCAGATTCCTAGATCAGTGTGGCTGACTCTTCTCAATCAATAGCATGTATCCTAACATGAAACTTTTACTGAAAGATATAAAAGAGAATTGAATGTTGTTAGGAAACTGCCTGAAAAGTCATTATGATAATACATAGTAAGATATTTTTGAAAACTATAAATGACATATTAATGATGTTGATACGGTTGTTAGATGCCATCGAGTTGAGTACGACTTATAGTGACCCTGTGAAGAACATATCTGAATCCTGCCCTATCCTGTGCCATCTTCACAACCTCTGACACACTTGATCATGTTGCTGCAGTCACTGTGTCAGTCCACTGCCTTGGGGTTCTTCCTCTCTTTCACTAACCTTCTACCTTTCCAATGAATAACCTCTCCTCGGGAGAGATGAAGCTTTGCCGTTCTTGTCTCCAAGGAGCACTCTGGCTGTGCCCCTTTTTCAAGACATACTTGTTCTTCTTCTTTTTTTTTTTTTTTTTCAGTCCATTGGATATTCATTATTCTTCTCCAACACTACAACACAAAGGCATCAGTTCTTCTGTTATCCTTAGTCATTGTCCTGTTCTCAGGTACATAGCAAGAGATAAAGACAATGACCTGAATCAGGCACACCTTAGTCTTCAAACAAAATACTAATGATAGCTTTCCTTATTTCATAGTTTTTATAAAAACTTTTAGATGAAAATGATAGCCAATATATAAAGGATAATTACAGAAAACCCTTATTCCAAATAATGTGGGTGTATTTCCTTTCTTTCTGTTCACAGCTGTCAGACCAATCATGCAGAAGGCCTATGTTATTGTCACTGTATTTTTGTGGGTCATGGGTTCAGGCTCTAGAATGAGGATCAATTCCACGTCTGCCGCTTCCTTGCTGCTTTATTTGAGCCACTTAATTAAACATTCTATATCCCTATTTCATTTTCTAACTCCCTTTTTTGTGTTTTTATAAAGGTATTATAGAATTTACCTCAACATAAAGAGTTTATGTGGAGATTAGCTAAGACCATGAATATAAAGCATTTAGCTCAGTGAGTAATTGGCAAGGAAATGGTAACTCATCATTAATGTGCATTTGTTGTTGTTTTTGCTTTCATATCTTACTATTGAGGTTCAGTGAGAGACAAATGATACAAAGTAATGACTTTGTTGGTACTAAACTACAGTCTATTCTTTAAGTAAACCTTTGCAGCATTGAGAACCATGCGTCCCCAGTGCAGGACCCCTGAAAAGACAGAGAGATCGAGTGGTGGACACACAGATAGCTCAGGGTTAAGGTGTTTGCTCTCCAGGCCTCTGCAGTAGTTGTTGACCATCTTTCTTTCACTCCAGCGGACTCTACAACTCTCCCAGTGACCGCAACAAATCACCAAAGTTCCCCTACGCACGTCGCCGGAACCCCTCCTGTGGAAGTGACAATGACTGTGTGCAGCCCATGAGGAGAAGGTGAGCTGATAAAGCCCTTTGCCGGGAATTTCCCACAGAAGCTCTGGGTCCCATTTCCTTTGCTATTATGAGGCAGTTCTCATAATCAGTATCTGTCTGTGACAACAGGAAGCATGCTCATTTTGGCATTAGATAAGCTTGGCATCCTGAGGCACTTCTTTGAAAGAGCCAGTTTTAAAGAAAGAAGAATCTTACAAAATACTGAGAGGAACTTGCTGCCTGTATTTTAATTAGGATTCATAAATTAATAATTTTAATAGGCTGGTGTATAATATAGGGACCTCTGGTGGCTTAATTGTAAGGATTTGTGCTACCTATTCAAAGACACATGGTTTAAATACACCAGCTGCTTTGCTAGAGAAAGATGGACGGTCTCCTCCTGTGTGATTTTCAGCTTCTGAAAACCCACTAGAGGGTCAGCTATGAGTTGGTCTGACTCAACAGTACACAGCAACAGCAGCAACTGTATATTATTGTGTAATGCATTTATCTTGTTGTTGTGTACCATCAAGTCAGAACTGACCCATGGCTGACCCACCAGCAGGTTTTCAGAGGCAGTACATTGCACAGGAGAAGATTGCCTGTCTATCTCCTGTGGAATAGTGGGTGAATTCAAACTGCATGCCTTTGGCATTGCAGCATGGCTTCTTACACATTAGGCCAAATACATTTTAGTATTTATTATTTTAAAATAAGGAAACTCTCGTGGCCTAATGAATAGGGATTTGCGTTGCTGACCCTGAGTCATATTGGCATTTATATCATTTAATCACTAGACATTTCTAGCATGTTATTGTTGTTGTTATGTCCTACCGAGTCAGTCATCAGATAGCTGAGCCTCTTGAGGGTTTTCAGAACTTGTAAATATCATGGGAGAGCATTGTCCATCTTTCTCCCACGGAGTCACTGGTGGACTTGAACCACATGCCTTTGGGTTGGCAACACCGCTAAATGAATAGAATTGGTGCAGAGATGAGAGAAAGGTTGAAGGAACAAAAGGAAAGAGTGGAGACTACTGTTGAGACTACTACTCAGAAGCTACTGCTGCCTCAGGGCTTTTAAAATAAAAGGTGAGACAAGGATATAACCAGAGAAAAAGCTGTTATCGAGAGATCCAGAAGCTGCTTTTACCTTTCACCTAAAACTCATGAGCTGCTGACGTGGCAGCAGGCACCGCCACTGTAACTAAAACTCCTGTAACCACCCTTCTCAGGAGCCCAAGTACTGCCCAAAGCAAAATCACTTGCCTTTTTTCTCCTGTCTTGAAATCTTGCCTGAGTGTCTGTCTGTAAAAAGAGCAAGGGCCACCTGGCGACGGCTATGTCTGACCTTTACCAGCTTCACAAAGGAGAACTGTTTCCTTCAACAACATCAATAACACAAAACCAATTCCCATGAGGTCAGACATATTCCTCCATGCTCCTGTACCTCTTTTTACTTATCTCAACACTAATCTTACTGCTTTACTAGGTCCAAAATCAGATATGATATCTCACAGGCCACATAGAACCATACTGGGGAAGTAAAAAGGTTATAATCTAGGTTAATAGCAGAATACAGCTAGGAGAGCTTCTGAAATGTACTCACAGGCACCTCATTCTTGAGCCTTGCAGCTTATGGTCAGTGTTACAAAGTTCTCAGTCCTGCCAGTATCAGTTTGCCATCCACCCCCACAAGTTGTCTGAAAAATTTATGCAAAGGCTCTTAGCTTAGCTCAGGCTCTGTTGGAAAGGGGCAGGTAGCAGTCACTTTTCATGTCAATTCTCCAGTTCTCTATTTCCGCCTTGGCTGCCACTGCTTTAAGTCTAGTTGGAGCAAGAATGTCAGGTCCTAAAAGACATCCACTGCACGCCAACTTCTGATTTGCTGGTGGTAAAAGAGAGAGAGACTCTGCTTGAGGCCCCCCTCCAGTTTATTGGTGAGACTAGTCAATCCCCTTGTGGATTGGTGAGTTATCCAATCCCCTTGTGGATAGGCCAAGACATCCTATTTGCATATTCCCACCCATCCACATGACAGAGTCCATTTCAGTGACTAGGAAAGCCATATTGAAAGATAAGCTCCACACTGTCTAACTAAAACCCATCTGACAGGGAGTCCAAGAAAATGTTATATTCAGGCCTCCATCTTGACAATAGAGCAGAGATTATAAAAGGTCACTGGGTGGCTTAGTACCTTTAGAAAATACTAGTCTAGCATTATTTTCTCACTTTTACAGGTGAGAAAATGGAGGTTCAAGGAGATTATGATAGCTTGTCCTGTGGGGGACATCTGAGATTGAATCTAGATTTGTGTGATTTCTGAAATACACACATGTGGATAAAGCAGGATGTTGTTTTTGTGTGCTTTCAAGTCAGACCAACTTAGACTTGACCTTCCAGCAGGTTTTCAGAGGCAGTAAATTACATGGGAAGTGGTTGCCTATCTTTCTTTGGTGGAACAGCTGGTAGTTTCAAACTGATTGCCAGTGCAACTCCTTACTCCTAGGCCACCAGCTTTGCTGAAAGGCAAGGTAATGGATTTTTACCTAAATAAAGCTGAGGGAGAGATTTCTTTCCCCGTTGTCCAACCTAGTTGTTCTGAGTGGTGGTTGTTGTTGTTGTTATGTGCCATCGAGTCACCTGCAACTCAAAGCGACCCTATGTACAACAACCCTAAACCTTGCTCTATACTGTGCCAATCTTATTGTCTCTGACACACCTACCCCCATTACCCCATTCACTAAATCAATCCATTTAATCTAGGTCTTCTTCTCCTGTACTGTCCCTCTACCCTCCCAAGCATGACATCCCTTTCCAAGGACTGATCCCACCTTGCAACATGTGCAAAGTATGTCAGATGAAGCTTCAGAATCCTTGCCTCCAAGGAGCAACCTGATTTAACCCTCTCCAGGATGAACCTGTTCATTCTCTTAGCAGTACTCTTCTCCAGCACCACAGCTCAAAGGTGTCAGTTCTCCTTCTATCCTCCCTAGTCATTGTCCAGCTCTCTGATGCATAGCAAGTAATTGTGAAGAACATGGCCTGTATCAGACTCACCTTAGACTCCAAACTAACATCATTCTTATTCTGGGTGGTACAGATGGTTAATGTGCTCATCTACAAAGGGAAAGGCCTAATGATCCACTTCTGAAAAATCCATGATTGAAAACCCTTAGGAGTACAGTTCTGCTCAGACACATTAGGGGTTATCGTAAGTCAGAATTAACTCAACAGCAGCTGCTTTGTTTCTTCCTTCCCCTGCAGCCTCAAGCCTTATTGAGCTTTCTCCTAAGAAACACTGGGGTTTTATTTAACTTAGATAGTACTAAAAACTTCTGATTCCAAATCTTTGCGATCCGCTAGAGAATACTCTAAAGTGCATGAACTTATATGAGTATGTGAGGACATGACCTAAGGGAATAGTTAAATACACTAGGAACTCATCTTGGAATTCATATTATTAAATTGATTTTTTAAAGTTTTTCTTTCTAAATTATACTGCAAAATATCAGCAGTTTCTAAGGAAGATCATTACACAGGTTGAGCAGATAATAATTTTTACCTGAATATGTTTGAAAATGAGGGATTTCTGTTAAATATCTCATCTTGTGTATTGTGGGTTTTTTCCCCAAACGATGTGCTTGAAATAGTTTGGAGCATATACATCCTTGAATCGAGGCTTCCTGAGTTGTGTGTTGAGATATCCTTTCTGCTGGCTGCCTGGAACACAGAGGAGCCATTGTGGACAGCAGACACAGAATCCTTTTCATGGGCACAATTTGATTTTTATTTACCAGGAGAATCAGTATGTCTGAGCAGGCAGAGAGCCTTCTGCCTGGTTCTGTATGTCATTGCAAATCTCTTATTTGACATATGTTTTTGAAACACCAATCATTGCTGTATATTGTCAAAGGAGACTTAAAGTGTATTCTTCTTTTATGTTATTTCCATTATAAATGTCCTATTTTTCTCAGTCTTGGTTTGTCTTCACATAATATACCTTGGTCATAGGTACAAATTTCTCCATCCCTGGTTTAACTCTCACAATTAAATAAAACTTTGAACTGTTGAGGTTTGACTCACAACTGAGAATTTGCATTGTGACCGTCCCACCAGATATTCTGAATTAGAATCTATATTTTTCATAAGATCTCCCAGAGATTTTTACAGAGTTCAAGAGGTCTTGTCCAAAACATGCAGATTGTGATTTGACATCATATTGGCAAAGGTAGACGGTCAGTGAAAGAGACAAAGACCCTCAAGAAGATGGATCAACACAGTGACTAACAATGGACTCAAGTATGTCAGGAATGAAGAAGAAAGCACAGAATAGGGCAAAGTTCAAATCTGTTCATTGTTCTTAGGGTCACTGTGACTCATAGATTACTCTACAGCACCTAACAATAACATATCTGCAGTGGTACTGCAGATTCTCAGGAGAGGATCCAACTGGAATGAATTGGTTCATAGCTTTGTTTAAAACCAACTTTGACATCAGCACCAAAGAAGCTCATGGACTTAAATTTAATAATAGAAAATTCTATTTTGCTATAGATTCCAAGAGAATGTGCTATGAAAGTTTTGATTTTGCTAGGTTTTATCATAAGAGAAATGTAATTGTTGTTATTAGATGCTGTTGAGTCAAATATGACTCATAGTGAACCTATAAATAAATAGAGGTATCAAGTTCTGACCAAGACTTAAACATTGAATTTTAACCTTTGGATCACAGAACATTCTGGGTATCTGAAGAAATATTGGATTTATTCCACAGGGGAAAAGTATTATTTTTTTAAAAGTCATAATTTGTGTATCATTTTCAAGGCTGACAGAGATTCTATATTATGATTGTTTCAGTTTTTCTGTTCAGCTAAAGAAAGCCAGCAAACTTGGTGATCAGAAGCCTAAATCTCCTGACACTGAGTTGATTCTACCTCCTGGAGACCCAGTGGGACAGAATAGAACTGTGAGAATCGATGAATTTGTTGGGAGGCAGACTGTCTTTATCTTTGTCTTGTG